AGTCCCCACGCCCCTTTTACCTAGTGGATGACCCTGGTCCTGGCGCCTTGATTCTGGCTGATGCTCTAAGAAGGCTGACATCAGATCTCAAAGCAAGACGCCAAACCAAGAGCAAAATGTTCCAAGTATATGAAACCAAGAACCAGCTACTTGACCCTTGTACTTCTCACCTTTGTCAAAGACACACGGGAGTCAGCAGAGAGAGGATTTCTCCGGAAAGAGAATTGCCGGAGGGCCCAGAGAGCTGGCTGTGTGTCCCGGAGCTGGGGGGCTGTGTGGGCCACTATCTGCCCTCTGCCGAATAAATCTCCTGGGAGTCAGACTGGCTGGGTTGGATGCTAAAGACTCCAGTAAACGCAGATCCGCTCACTCTGTCAGAGTTGACACGGGTAGAGGATGTGAGTTTCATACGGACCAGGTGTGGGCTGACCAGGAAAGGAGGCTGGCGTGGGGGTGCCTTAGGCCCTGTCCGAGAGAGCATATCGGAGGGGCAAAGGGCCTCAGCACAGAGAATCGAAAGACGCCAGAAGAGTCCTTGGGCTGCAGGAGGACCAGGCAGCCGACCCAACTACACCTGCGCGACACCCTGCGGGCGGGAGGTGCCTGGTGATGGCAGATGGTCTCCGAAGAATCCACAATTACCTGCGATTCTAAACGCCACCGTTAAACACCTGCCACGCTCCCAGCCCGACACCATCTTCCCACGGTGCTGCGGTAACGGAGCAAGGGGGACTTCCCGCTCTCCTGGCCTCCTCTCCCTCCAACCTCAAGAATGGAGGGGAGAGAAACCGGAAGTAGCTAAAGGGAAAGTGAGCCAGAAAGGTGAACCGCCCACCCTCCTCTTCCCTGGTCTCCAGCTTAGAAAGCCTGGTTTCCAGTAGACCACAGCTGGGGGAAGGAGGCAAAGTCTTTTCATCGAATAAAGACTAGAACTCCAGTTATCGCATGGGCCAGGGAATTTTGTTTGAGACTGTATTTGCCACGCAAAATGCATATGGTATATTCTGTTTCCTAAGTGAGAGGAGGAAAGCCATGGGACAGCCCAAGTGTCCGCCTAGAGACCGGGAGGGGAGTGGATTTGAATAAACACTCAGAGCCAACGTAGAGAAGCGGTGGGAGCCTAGGGCTGCGCTCTGGTTTCCTCTGCCGAGTGGGGCTGGTTTGAAGTCAGACTGTGTCCCCAGGCCGGGCCCGCTGCGCTGGGGTGGCCGGGGGGAGATGTTGGGCCGCCAGATCTCTCCTGCCTTTTCCATGGTAAGGAGTCACCACTGGGCATGGGGTCACCTAGCAAAGAGCTCCATCCCTCGGGACTTTGCATAGGTAGGTGGTGTCACGTGACCGAGCTCTTGCGTGTGGAAGTGATGTGTCCATGGTCCTGGGAATGGCAGGTGTGCGTCTCCCACACTCTCTCCCCTGCCCTCCAGCTGCACCCAAATGTCACCATGCAGATGGTGGCAAGGTCCCAGAGATGGAGGGGCCCGAAGATGGGAGAAATCTGGGGGCCTGGAGGACCAGGTGGAGCAGAGTGGCTTTTCCATGAAGAAGTTGAGTTCTTCTCTGGCTACAGAGGCTCAGCCTCTCACCATGAGTGGCAGAGCACCCCACTCTCTGGGCTCCCTGAAGCACATTCAGACATTGCACCCCAACCTCAGCTGACTCAGTTATGAAAGCCCTGGAGGCAACACATGCTTTGGAATCAGACGGGGATTCTGGTCCAACTCTGCCCCTTCCTGGCTGTGCAACCTCGGCCAAGTGACTTGACCTCTCTGATCTCCATTCCCTCTTACTAAAAAGGGATTCATAGCCCTTCCACATGGCTTTGCCACAGTGAGCCAAAGAGAGGATGCAGGTAAAAGGCCCAGCACAGTGCTTGGCACAGAGTAAGGTCTTCATGGAAGATCAGATCCTTCCCCTTCCCCTCCCCCACCGCCTCCCCCATTCCTGGCAGCTGCGCTCCCATCAGCCCCCACCAGGCCGTGACGCAGACCGAAGTTTTTCTTTTGAGTAAGTGACAGGTTCAGGGAGGTGGAACAGAACAAGCACTTAGAGTTCACAGAGGGAATTCTGTGCACCCAGATGCCCCGGCTCCCTTCCTGGGGCCGGGGATTAGCCGGTTATCCTGGCTTGTGTCCAGTCTCACCGTGCGGCGAATCTTCTGATTTTACCCTCCGTCCCAGGACTAGGACGACGTTTGCCGGGAAGTCTGTCTCCCCTGCGGGCCGGCCGTGGCTTTTAACCCCATTCCAGGGCGAGACTGGGATGCGGGGCGTGGGGGCTGCGGCCGGGCTGGGGCTGGAGCGAGCGTGTTCTGGCTAGCAACGATCGGAATGCTGCGGGCCGTGCGACAGGAATATTAATTCCTCCTCCCAGAGAGCATCAGGCTGCGCAGGGCCGCCGGGGTGTGCCTGGTCCAGCCGCTCCCCCCCTCCCAGTTACCGACAGGACCTGTCCCCAGACCCGCACGGAGGGAGGGAATGGCCACAGCTGCCCAGGCTCCAAGAGGACACACGGGGGGTTGGGGGCTTGCTCCGTGCGCCTGCGCCCCCCTCGTGCAGCCCTTCTCGTGCTCGGGGCCCACGACGCAGAATGGAGCATCACCTGCACGGTCCATGCTCACGAACACCAGGACCTAGACAGCGTCCGAGGGACTTGCCTCCCACACTGACCTTCTGTGGCCGGTGTGGGCAAAGGATTGGAGGGGGCTGGGCCCCCGGTGGCCAGGGGTTGGGGGCTGGGTCCCAGGTGGCCAGGGGTTGGGGGCTGGGTCCCCGGTGGCCAGGGGTTGGGAGCTGGGTCCCAGGTGGGCAGGGATTGGGAGCTGGGCCCCGGGGTGGGCAGGGGTTGGGAGCCTGGACCCGCGTGGACAGGGGTTGGGAACTGGGCCCCAGGTGGCTAGGGGTTGGGAGCCGGGCCCTAGGGTGGGCAGGGGTTGGGAGTCGGGCCCCAGGGTGGGCAGGGGTTGGGAGCTGGGCCCCAGGGTGGGCAGGGGTTGGGAGTCGGGCCCCAGGGTGGGCAGGGGTTGGGAGCTGGGCCCCAGGGTGGGCAGGGGTTGGGAGCTGGGCCCCAGGGCAGGCAGGTGTTGAGGGCTGGGCCCCAGGGTGGGCAGGGGTTGGGAGCTGGGCCCCTGGGTGGGCAGGGGTTGGGAGCTGGGCCCCTGGGTGGGCAGGGGTTGGGAGCTGGGCCCCACGTGGGCAGGGGTTGGGAGCTAGGCCCAAGGGTGGGCAGGGGTTGGGAGCAGGGCCCCACATGGGCAGGGGTTGGGAGCTAGGCCCAAGGGTGGGCAGGGGTTGGGAGCTAGGCCCAAGGGTGGGCAGGGGTTGGGAGCAGGGCCCCACATGGGCAGGGGTTGGGAGCTAGGCCCAAGGGTGGGCAGGGGTTGGGAGCTAGGCCCCAGGGCAGGCAGGTGTTGAGGGCTGGGCCCCAGGGTGGGTAGGGGTAGGGGTTGGGACCTGGGCCCCAGGTGGGCAGGGGTTGGGAGCTAGGCCCTAGGGCAGGCAGGTGTTGAGGGCTGGGCCCCAGGGTGGGTAGGGGTTGGGAGCTGGGCCCCAGGTGGGCAGGGGTTGGGAGCTGGGCTCCAGGGTGGGCAGGGGTTGGGAGTTGGGCCCCTGGGTGGGCAGGGGTTGGGAGCTGGGCCCCACGTGGGCAGGGGTTGGGAGCTGGGCCCAAGGTCGGGCCGGGGTTGGGAGCTGGGCCCCACATGGGCAGGGGTTGGGAGCTAGGCCCAAGGGTGGGCTGGGGTTGGGAGCTGGGCCCCATATGGGCAGGGGTTGGGAGCTAGGTCCAAGGGTGGGCAGGGGTTGGGAGCTAGGCCCCAGGGCAGGCAGGTGTTGAGGGCTGGGCCCCAGGGTGGGTATGGGTTGGGACCTGGGCCCCACGTGGGCAGGGGTTGGGAGCTGGGCCCCGGGTTGGGCAGGGGTTGGGAGATTGCCCCTCCTGGTGGGCAGTGCTTGGGCATTCCCCAGCCCCACACCCTGGTCTCGCTGCCACCGCAGCCTGGCCCTCTGCTCTGTGACTGCCCGAGCAGGATTGGGAGCTCCCAACGGGCTGGGACCTGGCTCTGCATCTCTCTGGACCTCCGTCTGCAGCTGGCCCCTCCTCGTGCTCTGTGGCATTTGCTGACCAGAACAAACTGTCTCCATCTCCCAGATGCAAACCCTTCCCTCACCCACGTGGAGGTCAGCCAGCCTTGATTTCCAGCCCCGACCTGCCACTTGACTGGTGGGGCCGCCCTGGACAAGACACTGAGCTCTCTGGGCCTGAATCCTCATTGCAAAACAGGGTGACTGTGAGTAGGCTTCCCATAGCGCTGGGTGACAGGACGGCAGAGGTGCAACTTGCAAAGCACGCATCCCTCCCCTGCCCTCTGCCCAGGGGCGCATGCAACATCGTTCGGGGTCCAGTGTTCCTCCCTCGGCCTTCCCTTGCTGTCTCCACCCTCATCCCGTCCACTTCCCAGGAGGCTCCCGCCGTGTCCCCACTGAGTACCGCCCACAAAGTTGCCCAGCGTGTCCCCACACACAGACTTGGGCAGTGTCCTGCCCCAGGACTGACAGTCCAGGTGAGGCTGCCCACTGTGGGCATTTGGGGCCAGGTAATTCTCAGTTGTGGGCCACCTGGGTGTTGGGGTGCTGAACACATCCCTGGCCGCTACCCACCCAACGCGTCCCGGCTCTGCCCGGACAGTCAAAGCTGTCTCCAGACATTGCCCAATGTCCCCCAGGGGCAAAACCACTGTTCTCCAGGAAACGGCAAGAACTGGGGCCTGTCCTCCGAAGGGACCAGGATGACTCAGGACACACCCCCCGAGGGCCCAGGGCTGAGGGAGGACATGACCTCCCGTGTCGGGCTCCTGTCCCTCCCCCTAGTTAAACCTGGAGAGGGACTGGGGCTGAGCCGCAGGGCGCGGGGCCAGGCAGGTGTCTTGCGGAGGGAAGGCAGCTTTGGCTGGGGAAGACGCACACTTCCTCTCCAAGTGCAGAAAACACACATGGTCAAGGACACAGCTTTGTAACAAACCCACTTTATTTGACAGTGCACACGGAGACCCAGGGCAGGGGCTGTGGCCTGGTGGGGCCAGCCACACACCTGCGTGGCCGAGGTGCCTGGTCTGGTGTGCTCAGAGGGCTCGGCGGGGGGGAGGGGACAAGGCGAGGTCAGAGCTGCTGCCTCGAGCACAGACACACACGGGGCTGGGGCTGGGTGCAGGTGTTGGTGTGCAGAGCTGGGCCGGGGCGTGTGCGCATCTGTGTGTGTGCATGTATGTACATGGGCGCGCTGTACACAGTATCTACAGGAACCCTCACAGCTGACCTAGGGAGAGGGTCGGGGATTAGACACCATCAGAAGAGGGGCACACACCATGGAGTGCACCGAACGCCCAGAGCGGGTCTGTTCTGCCACTCAAGGACTTGCTGTGTGGCCTGGGGCAAGTTACTTACCCTCCCCGGGCCTCAGAGAGACTCACTAGATGATCACTAAGGTTCCCTCCGGCCCTACCCGTCAATATTTTTAAGGACATTAAAATACAAAATATATTTGTTAAGAGCTGTGACAAGGGCCTTTGGTTTACAGGTTCGAAGCCCACCACGCCTGAGTCCAGGGCGGTATCCGGCACAGCCCAACCCGGGCCACAAGGGAAAGACCCCCTAGGAGCTTGCTGCCGGACCCCTCGCAGCTCAGCTCTGGCCCCTGCCAACCGCTGCGAGTGCCGAAGGTGGGGGGGCAGAGGCCAGGGCTGGGGACCCTCTTGGTTTCCTAGCACACAGTGGACCCAGCACCCAGTAGGTGCTCAATAAATGCTTGAGGAACAAGCATGGGAGAAGATGGCCTAGTTCTAGGCGGAGCTCTGCCCTGAACTAGCTAGGGCACAGCGGTGGGGCCTGGGACATGTCGCTTTCCCTCGAGTGTCAGCTGTCCCCTGTGAAATGGGGGTACGGCGGAGAAGCCGCCGGCCTGCCCGCCCCCACGCGTGTGCAAGTGTCTGTAAACTGTGGAGCTCGGCACAGAGGCCAGTGTCTAGCTGCAGGCAGGCCGAGGGTGCCCCGTCTGGGCGTGGGAGGGAGGGGTCCCCGGCAGAGGCAGTGGGCCTGGACTGGGGGGCCGGCCCAGGAGGGGAGACGAGGCTCGCACAGCACGATGCTCCCGTGTCTATGGGTACACACGCGTGACAGCGGCTGCAACAACCAAGCACACACAGCATCACAGGGAGGGACGGGGAGAGGGGGCTGAGGGCTGAGGTCGAGATGGGCGTGGTCTAAGCGCATGGCCACGCCCCCTCACACGTGCCCGTGCCAGGGGCGTGGCGACCCGCGCGCGCATGTGCAGAGGCGGGGGCAGACACGCTGCGCCAGAGGGCAGGGTTGCAGGATTGGGAGGGGGTTCGCCAGCTGCCACCAAGACCAGGCCGGGTCTCCCACCAGGAGCGCGGAGCCCTCTCCCGCCCCGTCCGGCTCCCGGCTGTTGCTTTCATCCTGCGACTTGTGCCGGGAGGCTCCGCTGGACGCAGGAGCCCCGGTCTGTGTGGCATCGGCGCTTCTTCCACCCCGCGGGCGGGGAGGCTCCGCGTAGGGCCTCTGCGAAGCTCCTGTCGTCTGGCGAGCCGTCTCGGGTCCTACAGGGAAGCGGACTCGGGGGGAAGCGGTGAGCAGGCGGGTGAACGTACAGAGGTGAGCGCCGGAGCCTCCGTCTGTGCCAACGGTCCTCGCACAATTGCGCCGCGGGGCCTCGCCGGGGATGTGGGCAGGGGCATCGGGGCCACCTCCCTCCAGGCCCCTCCCCAGCGTCCCCGCTCACTGGATGGTGCATTTGTCCCTCTCTCGGGCCTGGCCCTCCCGGAGGACCTTGGCCTTGATGTACTTGAGGTCACTGTTGACGCTGGGGCGGCGGGCGAAGGGCGAGATCATGCCGTAGGCGTCGGCCTCCTTGATGCGGCGCATGCAGAAGGGCCGCGGGTGGAAGGCGTCGCCGTACTGCACGGAGATCTTGCGGTGCAGGGCGGGGCTCATCTCGTGCGGCAGCTTGGCCATGCTGAAGAGCACGTAGAACATCTCGTCCACGTTGGTGTTCTTCTTGGCCGACACCTCGAAGTAGGCGCAGTTCTCGTCCCCCGACACCAGCAGCTCGGCCTCGGTGGTGGGCACCTGGCGGCACAGCTCACCGTGGTCGTTCTTGTTGCCGCAGATGACCATGGGCAGCTCCGCCGCCTCCTTGGTCTTGTTCTTTAGGCAGGACTTGACCTCCAGGATCTGCTTCTGCAGGCGCTTGACCTCGTCGAAGGACTCCCGGTTATCCAGGCTGAACACCAGGATGAAGACGTCGCCTGCGGGGAGAGAGCCCGGGTGGTGAGCGCACGGGCTTGCTCAGACCCACTCGCCCGTCTGCCACAGACTGCCAGTCCTAGCAGCTCACATTCCCTGGCCACTGAGCCCATCACCCGGTGTCCCTGACTTGACCCTTGCAGTGACGCTGTGGGGTAGCCGCTGTTACTCTCCCCATTTCCCAGGGCAGGAAACTGAGGCTCAGAGGGGTTGAATCCCCTGTCCGAGGTCACACAGCTAACCCGTGGCACCGCCTGGTTCAGATACAGCTAACTCATTTCACATGTCCTTGCAGGGCCAGAGAGAGGGCCTGGGTGGCTCGGGTGGATGTATCAGGATGATGACAGGCACAATTTCCCTGAAGGCAGGGTCCCACCTGACTTGCTCAAAGCATGGTTTGCATCCTGCCTCTTCCACTTACCAGCTACAGGGCCGGGCGCAGTGGCTCAGGCCTGTAATCCTAGCACTTTGGGAGGCCGAGGCAGGAGGATTGCTTGAGGTCAGGAGTTCAAGACCACTTACCCGGAGCAGGTCATGCAACTTCTCTAAACCTGTTTCCCCCTCTGTCCTATGCAGGTCAGACACTGCCTGGCGGGATTACTTTGAGGGCATGTGAGATAAGGAATGCAGCGTGGCGTGTGTTTAGGCACCTGGGTGTCAACAATGAGAACGAGGACCTGTAGGGAGGCAGGCCTTGCTCAGGCGCTCTGGGCCTGTCGTTCCCTGGACTCCTCATGACACCTCTGTCGGGGAGATCTTATTACCTTGGTGTTCTAGGTGAGTAAACTGGGGCTCAGAGAGGGCAAACAACCTGCCCAAGATCACACAGCTTAAACGTGGCTAGGCTGAGATTTCAACCGGACGCGGCCGACACCTAGCCCGCGTGCGTGCGGCACGCAGTAGGTACTCTCTGCTTCTTGAATAAATCGAGGGATGGGTAAGTGAACGCTGGCCGCCGAGGCCCACACTCTCTCCTCCGTGACTCGCTGCGCGCTCAGGACGGGTGCTGAGTCCAACTCAGGGACTGACGCGGAGAAGGCGGGGTGGGGGGCGAGGGTGCTGTCTGCGCTGGCGCCTCCATCCCAATTTCCAGATCTTACCACAAGGATCACAATCGCATTCTGGAAGCACCGTCCTCACTTTTGCTTAAACCTTAATAATCCTGTAGTATAGACACCAGATCCCTGCTTCACAGATGAGGAAACTGAGGCCCAGAGGAGGCAGCTAGTGGCCCAAGTTCTCAAGAGGACAGTCAAGCAATGCCAGCTCCCGACAGGGTGGCCACCTGCTTCCCCTGGGCCCCAGAGCACCGTGCACCCCCCTGCACTGGCACGTGCCCCGCTCAGAACCGTGTCCCCGCCGATACTGTGCTCCAACTGGAGAGCTCTGGAGCGGGGGAGGAGGCCACCACCCGCCCGTCCCGCCTGCCGGGGTCGCACACGGTGGCTGAATGGATGGATGGGCGGGGACGCGGCCAGTGGCGTGTGGGCCGTCTCGGAAGGCACTAGCAAGCAGCATCGGCCTGGCAGCCGTCCTGCCCCGGCTGCCAAATGCCATCCCGTTGGGCTAATCCTGGGCTCCCGAGGATTCAGTGGCCTTGACATATTCTAATGCTAGACTGCGATGCCAAGCTTCGGAGCCGGCCCCCTGGCAGCTGGTGGAATTAATGGCTCTCAGGTTTCCTGCGCAGCAGACCGGGTTGGAAAGCGAGGCACGGGCTGGTGCGTGAAGCAGCAAGCAGCAGACGATGTGCTCAGAATGCCACACACACGTAAGAGACACAGACAAAAATACTCCCCGCCGCCGGGATGCAGAGACGAATGCCAATGTGCTCGTGGGGCCCAGAGGAGTCAATGCCAAACTGCCGGGGTGGCCACCCTGGGGAGGGGCCAGGGCCTGGGACTGCGGACGGGGCTGTTTGCAGGAGGGTGTGTGCGTGTTATTTGTGTAATCAAAAATGAAGGTGGAAAACACACACGTGCTCCCTCTCCACTTCTCTCTCCCTCCCTCTGTCACTAGTCTTGCTCACATCGGTGGGCACTCAGTCCCCTCCCCGAGGCTGACCTCACAGCCACGCTTTGGGGGGGAGGCTGTGCCCACTGTGTGGCCAGGGAGGCTGACTCAGATGGGTTAAATGTGCCTCTGGTCACTCATCTAAGCCACCAAGTGGTAAAGTCAGAATTCGAACCCAGGTCAACCCAGGACTATCTACACGCTCTTTCTCCAAACTACGGTGTGAGGGTGGGGGGTGGGGGTGCTATCTGGGTCAGACGGGCAGTGAGGACAGCCTGGAAGAGAAAGCCGCCTGTCCGGCGTGCTCCGGCTGGGCATGGCATGGGTTTCCTGGTGTAGAAGTGTCTCGGTTTGGGGGATTGAGAGTTACTTGCTCGCTCCTTCCTTGTCACTGCCTGTGCAGCCTGTCACAGGCACGCTGTAAAGCTGACTCGAGGTAAGACCAATATTCACCGTGCACTTTTATCTGCTCACCAAGCACTGTACATATATTAACTCATCTAACTCTCACATTGACCTTTGAGATGGGTATTGATGTGATGCCCATTTTGCAGATGAGAAAACTGAAGCACAATGCAATAAAGTCACTTGGCCCAAGGCACAAAACCAGGAAGCAGCAGAACCAGAACTCAGACCCAGGCAGATGGGTCTCTGGGCCTGCCCTCTTCCCTACACACTGACCTGCCGAAAGCAACGTAAACCACAGCACAGCCCACGTCTCTGTGTGCCCCTGAATCCCCACAATCCCTGCCCACCCCATGGCTCCCAACAGGGCTGAGAGGCTATGGGGTCCTGGGCCAGACAGCACAGACCAGCTGTGGTACCTCCTGGTGCAACTTACTAGCCTCTCTGGGCCCCGGTTTCCTCACTTGTAAAATGGAGGTAAATACCTATCTCCTAGATTAGTTGTGAGCATCCTATAAATACACAGGGCTAGGCCCACAGCCGCTGGCAGGTGTGAATGTGGCGGTCACTGTTGCTGTCACCGGGCCCCTTTCTCTGTGGCTGACCACTGCCTGAGTCCTGCCCTCACCTCTCTGAGAGGCGGCAAAGGCCTGGGGTGTCAGGAGCCCTGAGCCCTGCTGGGTCACCTCCCAGAGGAGGAAGGCAGCAGCCTGGACACCATCCCGTTCCCTGAAAAGGAATATCCCCAGTGCACGTTTGTGGCAGTCCCTGGTTGGGAAGGCGGCCCCCGCAGTCCTGAGTAACCGATCCAGCGTCAAACGGGAAGGGAGGGAAGCCCGGACCCATCACTGGCTTGCGAAGCAGCAATGCCTCTCCGAGCTGCACCGCAACAGGGGCCTGTGTGCGCCATCGCAGGCGGCGGCTACACAGCGGCCTGCTAGGCGCAGAATGCCAAGCACACGTGCTCCCGCCCCTCCGCAGCCCTGCCTCTGCCCCTGCCCTACCCGCCCCGGGCCCGGCCCGGGGGCCTCACCTGTGAGGATGGAGAGCCTGCGCATGGCGGGGAAGGGGTGGTTGCCGGAGGTGTCCAGGATGTCGAGCTGGTACATGTCGCCGCGGATGTTGTACACCTTGCGGTGGAAGTCCTCGATGGTGGGCGTGTACTGGTCCTCGAAGCGGCCGTTGAGGAAGCGGGAGACGATGGAGCTCTTGCCCACGCGGGAGGCGCCCAGCACCACCATGCGGTAGGAGTTCTTGGCCGGCACGCTGAACGTGCAGTTCCCGCTCGACAAGGTCTTCATCATGGCTCGGGGCTGCAAGGAGAAGCGAGGGAGCCGGGCTCAGCAGGCCCTCGACCCAGCCTGCCGGACGGGCTCTCTCTACAGGGCCTGGGCGTTGTGCCCACGCATTCGTCCTCGCCCCCTCGTTCCTGCACCTGCCCCTGTGCCCGCCCGCCTGCCTTCCGTCCCCTCGACACCGGCTTGTCCCAGCACAGGACGGCCGGGCGGACCCCCACTCTGCCGCTGACCGCTGGTCTCGGGCAAGCGGCTTCACCGCGCTAGGAGTCACTTTTCTCATCCATAAAATGAGCCCCACTCATAGGGTTGCTGCGAAGGGCTTGGCACATGGTGAGATCTCAAAAATGGCGACTACTGTGAGGACCTGTTTCCGCTGGTTCATCATCCTCACCAACCCTGGCCTCCGGGAGCCTGTGATCCCAGGATGTGGCACCAGGAGGGCTGCATCCAGACCACGTGCTCCTGCGCCCTGCGTGTGGAGGGCCCCTCCCACCACGGCCACCGCAGCCTCTCCATGTCCCGCCCAGAGGTCGGCACCTCCCAGACCCTAGGAGGTCACCTGCCTCCTGGAGTCCCAGACGCCTGGACTGGAGGATGTAGGGCAAGGGAATGACTGTCCCACATCCCCCCACCACGCGTGACTCAAGTTTCCCTCACGGCTCCAAGGGTTAATGGTTCTGGGGCAAATCCAGAACCTTCTATGGGAGCCTCCTGAAAGAGGCTGAAGTGGGTCCAAGCTCCAAACCTCAAGTGGAGGCAGGCAGACCTCCACGGGCTCCATCACGCCCAGCACAAGGCCACTCACAGCCCAGCCCACCCTCCTTTCCTATCTCCGCACCCGCCGGCACGCCCCCTGAGCCCTGACCCGTCTCCCTAGTTACTCTGCTCGTGCCAGCCCCTGCCCCAGAACACGCCCCTCCTCTATGTCTCGGTCTGGCTCTAACGCCAGCTCCTCTCTGAAGGCCTGATTCTGACACCCCGGCAGGAGTCCCTCCCCTCTCCAGAGGAGAGCTTTGCAGCCCCGGAACTGCAGACGGACACAGGCCTGCAGAAATATCACTCCCCTTGGCCTTCAGCAGGCTGCCACAGGTTGTGCAGGTTGGGCACTGCACAAGGCACCCAGCTGGGTGGGCAAGTGGGGGCTGCATCCCAGGGGAGGGGGTCTCTGCTCAGAGGTGGCATCATTTTTCAATTCACACCAAGGGCTGTATGTGCTGAGACTCAGTCCCCACCCCTGGGTGCCCCAAGTCAGCTGCCTTGAGGGTCTCTTCCATCCACTCCAAAGGCATTCTCCAACTTCATACTTTCTACCACGATGCTAAGAGAGTGGGAGATGGCCACTCGAGGTGGAGACCTCCTGTGTGAGAACCTTCTGGCATATGTCCCTGTCTGCTCACCCTGCCCAACTGCCAGCCCTGTACAATAAGCCAGCTCTCAAAAAGACCCTTTTTTAAAGCCCTGATTGGTAGCATTTGTCAATTTCCATGGCTAAATACTCCCGCCAGGGCCAATTCCAAGCTACCAGCTGAGCTCAACGAATGAATTGCAAGGAGACCACAGAATCAGCCTGCTCAGCAAAAGCTGACTGCAGCCTGGGGCCACGACAACAAGGACCGCCATTACCCAAGCCCACCCTGCGTGCCAAGTACCTGCTAAGAGCGGAAATCAGTAAAGGTGACGTTTTGCAGTTACTAAATGCCAACGTGTCCTAAGTGCTGCACACATACTAGCCTACTTCACCCCTTTGTAACCCCCAGAAAGCAAGTGGTATTGACCCCCAATTTACAGATGAGGAAACTGAGGCATGGAGAGGTTAAATTATTTGCCCACAGTTACATGGCCAGTAACCTGCACAGGAGGGAAGCGACCCCAGGCAGTCTGCCCTGTGCTAGGGACACAGCACCTCCCTGTGAGGTGCATTTCACAGACAAGAGCCCTCATGCTCGAGGCTGTGTGTTAATAAGGGAGCCTGGGTGGTAACTCCAAGCCCAAGATCCCTTGTCCCCCACTCAATTCATGCCTAGAGCCATCTTTTTTTTTTTTTTTTTTTTTAGGTCATTTAGTTATTTTATTTTTTTTTTATTTCGGGATAGAAAAATGTCATAATTCTTTGTTGTAGGGAAACTGTCTTATGCATTTTGAGATATTTAGCAGTATCCTTGGCCTTTTTTTTTTTTTTTTAGTGAACTCTTCTCAAAAAAAAAAAAAAAAAAAAAAGATGGCTCTAGGCATGATTGAGTGGGGGACAAGGGATCTTGGGCTTGGAGTTACCACCCAGGCTCCCTTATTAACACACAGCCTCGAGCATGAGGGCTCTTGTCTGTGAAATGCACCTCACAGGGAGGTGCTGTGTCCCTAGCACAGGGCAGACTGCCTGGGGTCGCTTCCCTCCTGTGCAGGTTACTGGCCATGTAACTGTGGGCAAGTAATTTAACCTCTCCATGCCTCAGTTTCCTCATCTGTAAATTGGGGGTCAATACCACTTGCTTTCTGGGGGTTACAAAGGGTGAAGTAGGCTAGTATGTGTGCAGCACTTAGGACACGTTGGCATTTAGTAACTGCAAAACGTCACCTTTACTGATTTCCGCTCTTAGCAGGTACTTGGCACGCAGGGTGGGCTTGGTAATGGCGGTCCTTGTTGTCGTGGCCCAGCTGCAGTCAGCTTTTGCTGAGCAGGCTGATTCTGTGGTCTCCTTGCAATTCATTCGTTGAGCTCAGCTGGTAGCTTGGAATTGGCCCTGGCGGGAGTATTTAGCCATGGAAATTGACAAATGCTACCAATCAGGGCTTTAAAAAAGGGTCTTTTTGAGAGCTGGCTTATTGTACAGGGCTGGCAGTTGGGCAGGGTGAGCAGACAGGACATTGCCAGCAAGGTTCTCACACAGGAGGTCTCCACCTCGAGTGGCCATCTCCCACTCTCTTAGCATCGTGGTAGAAAGTATGAAGTTGGAGAATGCTTTGGATGGATGGAGAGACCCTCAAGGCAGCTGACTTGGGGCACCCAGGGGTGGGACTGAGTCTCAGCACATACAGCCCTTGGTGTGAATTGAAAAATGATGCCCCTCTGAGCAAGACCCCTCCTCTGGATGCAGCCCCCACTTGCCCACCAGCTGGGTGCCTTGGCAGTGCCCAACCTGCACAACCTGTGGCAGCCTGCTGAAGGCCAAGGGGAGTGATATTTCTGCAGGCCTGTGTCCGTCTGCAGTTCCGGGGCTGCAAAGCTCTCCTCTGGAGAGGGGAGGGACTCCTGCCGTGGGTGCAGAATCAGGCCTTCAGAGAGAGCTGGCGTTAGACCAGACCGAGACATAGAGGAGGGGCGTGTTCTGGGGCAGGAGCTGGCACGAGCAGAGCTACAACTAGGGAGACGGGTCAGGGCTCAGGCGGCGGCGGCGTGCGGAGATAGGAAAGGAGGGTGGGCTGGGCTGTGAGTGGCCTGTGCTGGGCGTGATGGAGCCCGTGGAGGTCTGCCTGCCCGCCACTTGAGTTTGGAGCTTGGCCACTTCAGCCTCTTTCAGGAGGCTCCCATAGAAGGTTCTGGATTTGCCCAGAACCATTAACCTTGGAGCCGTGAGGGAAACTTGAGTCACGCGTGGTGGGGGGATGTGGGACAGTCATTCCCTCTGCGCCACATCCTCAGTCCAGGCGTCTGGACTCTCAGGAGCAGGGAACCTCCTAGGGTCTGGGAGTGCGACTCTGGGCGGGACATGGAGAGGCTGCGGTGGGCCGTGGGGAGGCCTCCACACGGCAGGCGCAGGAGGCACGTGTCTGGATGCAGCCCTCCTGGTGCCACATCCTGGGATCACAAGGCTCCCGGAGGCCAGGGTTGGTGAGGATGATCGAACCAGCGGAAAACGGTCCTCACAGTAGTCGCCCATTTTTTGAGATCTCACCATGTGCCAAGCCCTTCGCAGCAACCCTATGAGTGGGGCTCATTTTATGGATGAGAAAAGTGGACTCCTAGCGCGGTGAAGCCGTTGCCCGAGACAGCGGTCAGGCGGCAGAGTGGGGCCGCCGTGCGTCTGTGCTGGGACAAGCGGTGTCCGAGGGACGGAAAGCGCG